TAAGTAAGTACACACCTAAAAATAATTACTTTAAATGTCAGTGGACTAAATGCTCCAATCAAAAGACATAAGGTGGCTGACTGAATAGAAAAAAGCAAGACCCATCTATATGCTTCATACAAGAGACTCACCTTAGAACTAAAGACACACAGAGACTGAGAGTGCGGGGGTGGTAAAAGATATTTCATGCAAACAGAAACAACAAGAAAGCTGGGGTACCAATACTCATACCAGAAAAAATAAAGTCCAAATCAAAAGACAAAGAAAGGCATTATATAATGATAAAAGGATCAATACAAGAGGATAGTATACTTGTTAACATATATGCATCCAATACAGGAGCACATAAATATATAAAGCAAACATTAATAGACATAAAGGGAGAACATTACAATGTAATAATAGCAGGTGCTTTAACACCCCACTTGCATCAATGGACAGATCATCCCAACAGAAAATCAATATAAGGCAACAGTGGTCTTAAATGACACATAGACCAGTTGGATTTAATAGCTATCTACAGGACATTCCACCCCAAAACAGCAGCATACACATTCTTTTCAATTGCACATGGAACATTCTCCAAGATAAATCCCATGCAAGGCCACAAAACAAGTCTCAACAAATTTGAAGACAGAAATTATATCAAGCATTTTTTTTCTGACCACAATGACATGAAACTTGAAATCAATTACAGGAAGAAAAATGGGAAAAGCACAAACATGTGGAGACTAAACAACATGCTATTAAAAAAAAACAATGGGTCAATGAAGAAATCAAAGAGGAACTCAAAAAATACCTCAAGACAAATGAAAATGGAAACACAACTTTCCAAAATCTATGGGATGCAACAAAAGCAGTTCTAAGAGGGAAGTTTATAGTCATACAGGCCTAACTCAAGAAATAAGAAAGATCTCAAATAAACAATCTAATCTTCCATCTAAAGGAATTAGGAAAAGAACAAACAAAGCCCAAAGTCAGCAGAAGGAAGGAAATTATAAAGATGAGAGAGAAAAATAAATAATAGAGACCCAAAAAAGACAGAAGGAAAAGATCAATGAAACCAAGAGCTAGTTCTTTGAAAAGATAAACAAAATTGATAAACCTTTAGCCAGGTTCATCAAGAAGGAGAGAGGACCCAAATAAACAAAATAAGAAGTGAAAGAGGAGAAATAACAACCAATACCACAGAGATACAAAATATAATGAGAATACTATGAAAATTATATGTCAACAAATTGGACAACCTAGAAGAAATGGACAAATTTCTAGAAAGACACAACTTTCCAAGACTGTATCAGGAAGAAATAAACAATCTGAACAGTCCAGTCACTAGTAGTGAAACTGAATTTGTAAAAAACAAACAAACAAACAAAACTCCCAGCAGGGCTTCCCTGGTGGCACAGTGGTTAAGAATCCACCTGCCAATGCAGGGGACATGGGTTCGATCCCTGGTCCAGGAAGATCCCAAATGCCGCAGAGTAACTAAGCCTGTGCACCACAACTACTGAGCCTGTGCTCTAGAGACCGCGAGCCCCAACTACTGAAGCCCATGTGCCACAACTACTGAAGCCTGCATGCCTAGAGCCTCTGCTCTGCAACAAGAGAAGCCACCGCAATGAGAAGCCCATGCATCACAACAAAGAGTAGCCCCCCCTGCTCTCAGCAACTAGAGAAAACCCATGTGCAAGTGAATACACAATGCAGGCAAAAAAAAAAAAAAAAAAAAAAAATTAAATAAATAAATTTAAAAACAAAAAACTCCCAGCAAACAAAAGTCCAAGACCAGATGGCTTCTCAGGGAAATTCTACCAAACACATAATGAAAAGCTAATACCTATCCTTCTCAAACTATTCCCAAAAATTGAAGAGGATGGAACACTCCCAAATTCATTCTATAAGGCCACAATTACCCTGATACCAAAGACAGACAAAAACACTACCAAAAAAAAAAATTTACAGGCCAATATCTCTGATGACTATAGATGCAAAAATCCTCAAAAAAATAGCAAATTTAATTCAACAATATATAAACCATACACCATGATCAAGTGGGGTTTATTCAAGGGATGCAAGGATGGTTTAATATTTGCAAATCAATGTGATACACCATATTAACAAAAGGAATGATAAAAATCACATGATCCTCAATAGATGCAGAGAAAGCATTTGACAAATTCAACATCCATTCATTATAAAACTCTCATCAAAGTCAGTATAGAGGGAACATAGCTCAACATAATAAAGGCCATTTATGACAAACCCACAGGTAACATCATCCTCAACAATGAAAATCTGAAATCAGGAACAAGAAAAGTATGCCCACTCTTGCCACTTCTATTTAACATAGAATTGGAAATCCTAGCCACAGCAATCAGACAAGAAAAAGAAATAAAAGGCATCCAAATTGAAAAGGAAGAAGTAAAAATGTCACTATTTACAGATGACATGATACTATATATAGAAAACCCTAAAGTTTCCACCAAAAAAAAACTATTCGAATAAATGAATTCAGCAAAGTTGCAGGATAAAAAACACAGAAATCTGTTGCTTTTCTATACACTATTAATGAACTATCAGAAAGAGAAATTAAAGAAACAATCTCATTTACAATCGTATCAAAAAGAATAAAATACCTAGGAATAAACTTAACCAAGTAGGTGAAAGACCTATACTCTGAAAACTAAAATATTGATGAAGGAATTTGAAAATAATGCAAAGAAATGGAAAGATATCCCACGTTCTTGGATTGGAAGAATTAATATGGTTAAAATGCCCATACTACCCAAAGCAATCTATAAATTTAATGCAATCTCTATCAAAACACCCATGGCATTTTTCACCGAACTAGAAAAAATAATCCTAAAATTTATATGGAACCACAAAAGACCTCAAATTGCCAAGGCAATCTTGAGAAAAAAGAACATAGCTAGAGGTATCACACTCCCTGACTTCAGACTATCCTAAAAATTTATAGTAATCAGAACAGCATGATACTGGCACAAAAACAGACACATAGATCCATGGAACAGAATAGAGAGCCCAGAAATAAACCCACACACTTACAGTCAATTAGTCTACAACAAAGGAGACAAGAATATGCAATGAAAAAAAGACAGTCTCTTCAATAAGTGGTGCTGAGAAAACTGGGCAGCTACATGTAAAAAGAATGAAATTAGAATATTTCCTCATACCATATACAAAACTAAACTCAAAAAAGACCTAAATGTAAGCCCTGAAACCATTAAACTCCTAGAGGAGAACATAGGCAGAACACTCTCTGACATAAACCATAGCAATATTTTTTTGGATCTGTCTCTTAAGGCAAAAAAAAAAAAGAAAAGAAAAAATAAACAGATGGGACATAATTAAACTTAAAAGCTTTTGCACAGCAAAGAAAACCATCAACAAAATGAAAAGGCAACCTACAGAACAGGAGAAAATATTTGCAAATGATATGACTGATAAAGGATTAATCTACAACATATATGAACAGCTCATACAACTTAATATCAAAAAAATAAACAATCAAAACATGGGCAGAAGACCTGAAAAGACATTTTTTCCAAAGAAGACATACATGTGGCCGACAGACACATGAAAAGATGCTCGTCATCACTAATCATCACAGGAATGCAAATCAAAACCACAATAAGATGTCACCTCACACCTGTCAAAATGACTATCATCAAAAAGTCTACAAATAACAAATGTCAGCAAGGATGTGGAGAAATCCCACTGTTGGTGGGATTGCAAATTGGTGCAGCCACTATGGAAAACAGTATGAAGTTTCCTCAGAAAACTAAAAATGGAACTACCATATGATCCAGCTATTCCACTGCTGGGTAAAAATCTGAAGAAAATGAGAAAAATAATTCAAAAAGATACTTGCATCCCAATGTTCACAGCAGCATTATTTACAATAGCCAAGATATGGAAGCAACCTAAGTGCCCATCAACGGATGGATAAAGAAGATGTGTGTGTGTGTGTGTGTGTGTATATACATATATGTGTGTGTATACATACATATATGTGTATATATACACATATATAATGGAATATCACTTGGCCATAAAAAATAATGAAATTCCGCCATTTGCTACAATGTGGATGGACCTAAAGAGTATCATGCTTAGTGAAATAAGTCAGACCAGAAAGACAAATACTCTGTTATCACTTATATGTGGAATCTAAAAAATAAAGCAAAGAAATGTATATAACAGAAACAGATTCACAGATATAGAGAACAAACCAGTGATTCCCCATGGGGAGAAGGAAGTGGGGAGGGGCGAGATAGGGTTATAGGATTAAGAGACACAAACTACTTTATAAAATAAGCAACAGGGATATATAGTACAGGGAAATACAGCCATTATTTTGTAATAATTTTAAATTGAGTAAAATCTATAAACACATTGAATCACTATGTCATACACCTAAAAATAATATAATATTGTAAATCAACTATACCTCCGTTTTTTTAAAAAAGATAGATAGGGCAGCCATTAGCACCATCATTTTACAGATGAAGAAACCGAATCCTCAACAGGTTAAATGATTGCCTGAGGACATAAGCTGATAAATGGTGGATTTAAAATGGGGACACAAAGCTAACCTTTCAGATACGATTTCTGATTCGTGAGCACTTTGCAATGTATTATTTATAAATTAAAAAACACCACCACAAACCTAGCTCATAGTATAGAGGACAGACTGGTAGTTGCCAGAGGCAGGGGTGGGGGTGGGCAAAACGGGTGAAGGGGGTCAAAAGATACAAACTTCCAGTTATCAAGTCCTGGGGATGTCATGTACAACATGGTGACTACAGTTATTAATACTGTATTGCATACCTGAAAGTTGCTAAGAGAGTAGATCGTAAAAGTTCTCATTATGAGAAAGAAAAAATTTTAACTCTTTATGATGACTGATGTTAACTAGACTTGTTGTAGCCATTTTGCAGTATATACAAATATTGAATTGTTATATTATACACCTGAAACTAATGTTATATGTCAATTACCTCGATGAAAAAATTTAAAATATTTAGTTATTAATAGAGTCCAATTATCAATCTTTTCCTTTCTGGGCCTTGTTTAAGAATCTTTGCCCATCCTCTCGAACCCTTTAAAAATGGCTTTCATATCCCACCAGTACCGTCCCTTGGAGAGGAGCCCTGGAAGATGGGAGAGAAAGGGTTCCTAGAGGAGACAAGGTGAGCACTGACCTCTAAGGTGGATGGACTGGGATGAAGGATGTTCCAAGTGAGGGGCAAACAAATGATGGGGGGCGGGTTGCATTTGGTCACACAGCCCCGGCACCCATTTCCGTAGGGCAACAGAGGTGCTGCTTTGCGTGTGTTACCACCACACTCCTGCAGGCGGGGACTCTCCACTTCAGCGCATGTAGAAACCAGGCTGCAGAGAGTGCTCAGAAGCATGGGTCAGTCAACCACAGGGAGCTCAGGACGTCCAACCCGAGCATGCCCAGCTCCCGAGCTGTGCCTGAAGGCAGCCGGGATTCCGTGCACCAGAGAAGAGGCGTCCTGTCTGGTATCGGGATGACTCATGAGGCCCGACAGGCCCAGCTCTGCCAACTCCCCTGAATGCAACCCTGGGGCTCTGGGATAACAGCCAGCAGCCACCCAGAGCTTTCCAGAGGAGGAATTGAGATCAGACCCGCAGCATGCTTGGCGCAGGGTGTGGCACAGTGCTGGCCGGCACCCAGCAGAGAGCACTGGGCCACAGGGAGGCCCCAGAAGACCCCTTCACCGTGGGCAGGAAGGGGGACAGAGGGTCTAAGGAGCCCCCACGCCCACCCCCCCTCAGACCTGTCCACCCAGTGTGGGAGGCCCTGGCCTGGTGCACACTAGCACATCAGTGTTCCCTGGCTGGATTTTGCCAGAAAATCCAAGAGCTTCGTGTTTGGAATTTGCTTCCAGCGCTACCGCACCCATCAGCGCTTCCTGCTGGGGTAGTAAACCGCTGTGGGCCCCCGGCACCCCCACACACACACTGACTGGAGGGGCTCCCTAGGGCAGGCCTCTACAGGGGCCGGGACAGCCTCTTGCTGCTTCCAGGGAGGAGGCACTTTGGAGAGAGGCAGCCCCCCACTTTGAATCCCATTTCCCGGTTGGAGGAACCTGGGAGGTCTCTTGCACTTTTCTCCTGCTTGTTTTCCCCTCTGTAAAATGGGGACCATCCTAGCAGCTCCCTTTCAAGGTTCCTGGGTCCCTGTAAAGCGCGAGGCCCCTCTCAGCCCACAGCCCGGGCCGCGAGTTCGCGCGCCCGAATCCGGCCACGCGGGGGCGCTCTGCTGCGCCCAGCCCGGCCCGGCGCCGGCCCTCGCTGGGCTCTGCGGGGACTCCTCCGCGTGCGGGAGCTCGGCGAATACCTCTGACAGTTGGAAAATGAATCCATCGACTCCACCCTGCGGACATTTGTTTGGAAGGAGGCCAGCCCGCAGCGCGAGCCCCCTCCGCGCCGCTTGGAGGTCCCACCCCTGCTGCGCCCGCCGGCTTGCGGGGAGCGGCCCATGTGGGCTCTGGACCGCCCCGAGGGGGTACCGGCCGGGGCCAGAGCTCCGGATCCGGATCAGCTGGAGGGACCCAAAGTCCCCAGCTCCGCCCTCCCTCCCCAGTGGCTTGAACGAGCCACATCACGGCGCCTCGACTCCCAGCCTCAACTTCCACATCCATAAATTGGGGAAGTCAACAGTCCCTACTTTGAAAAGTTGCTGAGAAAGTTAAAGGAGATGTATCACTGTGGTCCAGCTTCCAGGCCTTAGGCAAGCCACTTGCATCTTTCTGAGCCTCAGTTTCCCCAGCCACAAAATGGGGATAATAAATGTCCTTACCTCCCAGGGTCATTGAACAGACGAGATTGCAGCAGCAGCCACCTGGCACCCCCTGACCCCTCAGTCAGTGGAGCCATTGGGGTTCGGAAAGCTCTGCAGAGGCCCCGAGTCCACAGCTCACGCCTGTGCCCCAGAACCACAGGTCGTCTTTTAGGGATCAAGCCACCCAGTTTGGGAGCTGCTGGCTTAGAGCCAAGCTGATGCTCCCTCACTTCCCTGGCTCGGATTGGTGGGGGGTTCGCTGTGCAGCCCACAAGCGTCTGGGCAGGGGGCTGGGAGGCAGTGCCCCCCTCCTCCTGACTGGTCTTCAGGGCCCCCTCTGGTTGAGTCACCAGGCAAAAACATGCAGCTTTGACACCATCCAGAAAATGCAAATGTCCTGGGCGTCTAATCCTTCCCTTCCTTTTGGCAACTTAAACCACCCTGAAACATAACCAAGATAGCAAACCCAGTGTGAGTGTTCACGATGGAGCCCCGGCCCCGGCCCCCCGGTAAAGCCGGCCTCGTGGACTTTGTGCAGCAAAGCAATGCCTCCGGTCAGACTTAGCCTCACCAGGTATGCAATGACCCCTGACCTCACCAGTCCACATCCGTGCCTCCAAACCGGCCCCGACCTGAGGGGCACCCTCGAACCCTGACTTCCTTCCCAGTCAAGGGCTGTTACCCACCCCCATTCCCCCACCCCCAAAATATTTGGAATGGTCTTTGACTGAAATGAGATTAATCCTCGGTTCCCTGACAGTGTCTTTGGGCATGTGTTTTTATAACCTCCCTTTCAAATGAGAACCATTTGTCGTGGGGAAGCTGGGGAGGCCCAGCCCCAACTGCTGGGCCAGACATCACAGGCACCTGATTGAATGTCAAGGACAGTGCGAGGGGGCAGGGCCGAGGTGAGGGCGGGCTGTAAGCAGTGATAACCTGTCCTTTGCTGGTCTCTGGCCCCAGCCCAAGCCAGTGGCATAAGCCTGAGGCTCCAGGCTCCAACCCCGTCTCCCCCACAAAGCAGCCAAATACCCTTGAGCTGGTGAGCCCTTTAGCCTTTGCCTCTCTGAGCCTTACTTTCCTCATCTGTAAAATGGGAGAGCTGATGGGCCCTATCTCCCAGGTGATATGGCCAGCCCAGTGCCTAGAAGACAGTAGACCCTCGATGTCCAAAGTAGCGTTCGGTGGGAAGGCAAGGTAGCCTTGGCTGGGGTCCTCCAGGGGGCTGCAAACGTCCATCCTAAGTGTGGCTCGACTCTCCCGCCCTTCCAGGCTCACCCTAGGTGAGGGAGGCAACCCTGCGTAGAACTTGAGTCGCTGGTGCTTTAATGCCGAGAAAATACGGAGAAGGTTGAGTTGATAGGTGCCACGGTGCAGTCTCTTTAATTAACCCTGAGCCCTCTGTCGGTGGCCTCCTTCCTCAGCACAGTCTCCCCACCCCACCCCAGGTCCTGTTTGAAGTTTGCAAATCCCCCACTGCCTCCTGCCGCCCCTGCTTGCTGAACCAACTACAGACCCTTGGGGCTCAGCTGGGAGGGCTTTATTGGCGGAGAATTTCAATCATGGGTTCTTGGCTCAAACTTGTTGCTTCCCCCAAAATCTCCCCAGCAGTTTGATACTCATGGAACTGAGGCTCAAAGGAGGGACTCTGATGATCTCAGAACTCAGAATGCCACCTGGGCCTGTCGGGGAGTTCACAGCCCCTCCCTTGGAGGAAGGGAGCACAGAGCGACAAGAAAGACGCAGGTTCCTGAGACGGTGTGCAGGTACCAGAATTTGTTCACTTTCCAGGAGCTGCTTAGAAACTATTTCCACCTTCAACAGCACCCCTCCCCCAGCACTGCCACTTGTGTACAGGTGTCTGGATCTCCGTGGTGGGAGCCCCCTGTTGGTCTCGGGGCTGGGGAGAGTGGGGGCATCCGAGTGGAAAGCCCCAAACTGTAGAATTGGGCACCAGAGCCACAGAGATGTGCCACTTTCCTGAAGCTGTGTGCCTTTGCCTCTCCAAAGGCCTTCCCCCGGCAGTTTCCAGACCAAGGAGCCCACCCTCTTCCCCGGGAGCCGAGCCAAGAAGGTCCTGGGACAGAGGGCCCCATGTGCCGCTCATTTTTCTCCCCCTCTGGGCAGAGCTGACTCGTTCCGTGCCTCGGAGAGATCTTTGCGATGATGGATAAGCCGTGGCCCCGACTGCCGTGGCCCTGGGGAGAAAAAACATCTTTTGCAGTTTCGTGTAAAGCCTCCCACTTCTCGCTTAATAAGTGCTGAAAGCGGCACAAACAGAGAGACCCCGGGCTTGCCATGACTAACAAGATGACCACATCAGGCAGCCGAGCTGGGGGAGAGGACCGCGCCGGCCGGCCCGGCGTCCCCGGAGCGAGGTGTCCGATTCCGATTCCCTCCCGGGACGCTCCGCCAGCAGCGCTTTGAAGCCGGGCCGAGGCCGCCGCGGAGCTGGGAGCTCGGAGGCGCGGAGCGGAGGGGGGAAAGGGCTGGGGCTCCCTCCTGCACGATGGGCACAGATCGCCCGAGATAAAGGAACCACAGCCTCCGCCAACTTGTGCTGAGTCGCTCTTTTCAAAAGCCCTTTCAGATGGTTTCACTTCTCCGCGCGCGCTTTGTTGAAAGATGTAAAAATTTCAAACCACCACAGAGTAAACATTTCAAAACTCGCTCTTTGCAAAATCAGTCACATTTTCAAAAATCCCTTGAATTCCATCTCCACCCCCTCCGCCCCTTCTTCTGCGCTCTTCGGATTCGAGTGTTTTTCATTAATTTAGAAGCAGTCCAGGTAAAGCTGGTGTTTGCGAGCTGGTGTTTTACGGGCGGGAAGTAGCTTTGTTATTTAGGAGATGTTTTAGATAAGTCAATGTCTTGTCAAAATCAAGCAGGTTTTCTTTATTAGGGTGAAATCGTAATGAACTCATCTGCTTCTAATATTTATAAAGAGAAGAGAGGCCATTAATTCTACTGCTTGTGAATAAAACCATCTGTGATTTCTTTCCATTTGATGGGTTTTGGTTTTAATATACATTTTTTCACAAATAAGCACAGAGATTTTTTGGTGAAAATGTCACATTCAGGATCTCATAAAGAAAGAATGCAAAGAGAGGAAAACGAAATGTTTTGTTAGCTAAGTAATTTCTCACCTTGCAGAGTGGGGAACATTTGAGCCAACTTTAGCACATCAGGTGATGGAATCACCCCGTTCAACGCTACTGCAAGCCATGACATGTTACAACTCGAACCGCGTCCGTTTTGAAGTTTGTTTTCCTTGGGGAATTACACAGTTCGTTTAACCTAATCTGTCCTGACACTTGAATTATAATATTATGAGCTTCTTCAGGGAAGTAAAACAGTAGTTGCCTGCTTAGAAGCAAAGCAGAAGTTAATAAAGTGGGCAAAATGTCAAGGAAAAGGAGCTAATCGAATCACAGTGTCATTCTCTAGAGAAAATACAGTCAAGTTGTATTTTTTTTTTTCCAGTCGAAATCTTGGACACCTAATGACACATTTCTGTCCAGGAAGAAATTTGAACTCTGAAACCGAACTTGATTAAACCCCAAACTGCTGAGACCTTGCCCACTGGGACCGCTCGGGGACTTGGACTTCTGGGTGTCAGAGCTTAATTAAAATATTCATCCAGCTGCTCTCCCCTCGCCAAGGGGGCCCAGAGGAATTAAACCAATAAGCCTAATTCTATTAGTTCACCTGCCTGTGTACACAGAGATGCGGAAGACCATTTACGGGTTCAGAAAAAAAGCACCAGACCCACCCTGCAGATTCAGCGTGGGCCGTCACTGCATCAGCGAAACGGTCCCCTAAACAGAGTTCCACGTAACACTCAGGAGTCTCAGCTCCTGGCTCTAAACACACGCAGATATTTTAAAATTCTCTTTCAAGAAAACAAAAATGCCAAGCAAGTTACTGTAAGGATTTATGAGTGTGTGTTATGATTTATATGTCGTCTATAATAACATGTAACATTTACTGAATTCTCTGTGCCGCTGGGCTGAGCCTTTCCCATTCATGTCTCAAGGAAATCTTCACTTCCACTCTGTGAAGTAAACACCATTACTATCCCCACTTGACAGATGAGGAAACTGAGGCTCCATGAGACGAAGTGGCTTGAAGCCCAGAATTCTCAGACCACAGAGTCTGAGCTCCTAACCCCTAATATAATGACGGCTTTCCTGACATCTTGATCTTTGTTTTAAATTTTAATTACTTTATATCTGCCCTACATACACACAGTATAAAATTCAGAAGGTAGAGAGGCTGTAAAGGGGAAAGTCAGCCTTGCTCTCACCCTTCCTCAGTCCCTTCCCCAAAGCAGTCTCTTTGGACAGTTTCTAATGTCTCCTTCCAGAGTTGAGGCTTATTCCAACAAATACGTGTATATTTCCTTCTTAAAAAACACATATGGGGACTTCCCCTGCGGTCCAGTGGTTAAGAATCCACGCTTCCACTGCAGGGGGTGTGGGTTCGATCCCTGGTCAGGGAACTAAGATCCCACATGCCGCACGGCCAAAAAAAAAAAATTTTTTTAATAAATAAAAATTAAAAACCACATACAGAGCATAGCAGGTACATAATTCTGCAGCTTGCTTTTTTCATTTCCTAATACACCTTGGAGAGTTCTCCATCTCATGCCTTTTAAGACGGCAATGCCATAGCACAGGAAACTATATTCAATATCTTGTAATAGGGCTTCCCTGGTGGCACGGTGGTTGAGAGTCTGCCTGCCAATGCAGGGGACACGGGTTCGAGCCCTGGTCTGGGAGGATCCCACATGCCGCAGAGCAACTAAGCCCGTGAGCCACAACTACTGAGCCTGCGCGTCTGGAGCTTGTGCTCCGCAACAAGAGAGGCCGCAACAGTGAGAGGCCCGCGCACCGCGATGAAGAGTGGCCCCCGCTTGCTGCAACTAGAGAAAACCCACGCACAGAAACGAAGACCCAACACAGCCAAAATAAAAATAAATAAATAAAAATTTTAAAAAAGTTATAAAATACCTTGTAATAGCCTATAATGGAAAAGAATCTGAAAAAGAATATATGTGTATATATATACACACACACATACGTATGCACATGTATGTATAACAGAATCACTTTCCTGTACACCTGAAACACAACATTGTAAATCAACTATACTTTAGTAAAAAAATAAATTTTATAAAAAAGACTGCATGCCATTCTATTCAGTAGATCTAGTAGACTGAACCACATGAGAGTGTCAGTATTCAGCACTGTTTATAGGTACCCTTGGTACCTATAAACAGCGCTGTGCTGGATGACCTTTCACACACTGACAGGTACCATCTATAGGACACACTCCTAGAAGTGCCACTATCTGCAAAGTGGCCACACTGGCTAATTTCCGAAGCCCATGTCATCCCCACGTTTGTAATCCCACAGCCTAACTAGAGATGCCCCCCCCCCATCTCATGAACATAACCGCAGCTCTGGGGCCCCCCAGATCACTGTGGAAACAAATGTTTTCCACCAAACACAAACTCCCTTCCTGCTGGCTGTATTTGTCAGCCAGGGAATGAGACATTTCCCCATGATCAATACAAATGGAATAGAAACCTAGCCCAGGCAGCAGCAAGATGTGGTTTTTCAATAAGGAGACCTCCAGAAGATACTGCATATTCCTATGACAACAGCCGACAGACCTTGATTTTTAGTGTCAGAACCTGTTTAATGTGAAGGCCTGCGGCTGGGGCCTGGCGGAGCGCTGGGTGGGTTGTCTTGGGCTGGAACCAGGCTGGTCCTTCAAGGCTGCTGCAGAAACCAGCCGCCGCCCTTGCGGACCACCTGTTCACAAAGGCGGCTGCATTTGCCAGCTGGGCTGCCGTGGAGGCTGCATGGCTGGCCGGCCAGAGGTGATCTACAGCCACGGACCTGCTTATTTACAGCTCACCTGTGGTCCCCAATGCCTGGGCATCTCTAGGATGACGGCGGTTTGCCTTAAAAAGGACCAGGTACCTGGCAGAGGTGGCAACGAGCGTGATTGACTATTGACAGTCTTTTTCTTATTATAAATTCATCTGGTAACAGAGCAAGTCAAAGAGACACTCTGAGTTGGTTGCTATTTGAAAAGACTTGAGAAGGGCCAGCTGTGAACTGTCCAGGACAAACAAGGATGTTCTAAAAACACAATTCTTGCCCAAATAAGCTAGATGCCTCTGAGTTTCGTCTGATTCTTCTGCCTCTTTTAAAATTATCTGCTGATACAGACCAGGGCTGAGAAAGACAGCAGAAACAGGAAGACAGCTGGCGTTTAAGAGAGATGGGATCGGCAGTGATTTATTCCAAGGATTTGATATTTTAAGTTATTGTTGTTGTTATTGTGTGCAATAAATCATGTTTTAAAGTATCTGTTAATAGAGTGTTTTATTCTTTAAAAATATTTCTTTTTCTTTCAAGTGGATGGATTGTTGTTTTTAGCTGAATTCCCAGGTTTTATGAAAAGATGTGACAATAAGAATGGGTCAATACATTTTTCCACTGGGAAGTTTTGCCACCCAATTTTATCACCTAGAAAAGGTCTTGTCCTTTAAAAAATGAGAAGGAGAAGAAGAAAGGGGGCCTTGGATGGTATTGCTTAAAATACTTTGTTTGAATTTATGTAAATGTATTTAGTCCTTTGGCTTCTTAACCACTGAATTCACGTTTTTGAATTTTAAATACCATGATGGGCTCTCTGAGTTTCAAACAGCGACTCTCAAAGCTGCATCGACCAAAGCCCTTGAAACCAGGGTATAGCGGTCCCCCAAGGAAGGTCTTGGGGGGATGATTACAACATTCCTTTCTGCGACACAATAACACCCCGCTCGTGGACACTCTCGGACCCTCTGCTGAAAGTAGCTGACTGGGCCGAGGCTTAAAACTAATCTTGTCCTCGGCTCCCCAGCAAGAGGTCAGGAGGTGAGTCTTTCAGAATATGATCTCCGGCAAGATCTGAAGGGCTCTGAGAATATAACAAGTTGTAAAAGGGCGGGGGAATGGGGACAGAGAGAGAAAGGAAAAGAATAAAAGCAAAATTAAAGTTTTACAATTAAGTATATTCCTTTTTTTTTATTTAGTTAATTTCCAGCTGCTCACGTTTATTGCACATTAATTATGCATACAGCTTTTGTACAACTTAAAACGTGAAGAATGTGATCCTTACTCTTTTATGGAGGATCCGACTGCCACGCTGGAGGCCCTGCCAGAGAAGCTTCAGGTCAGATGGGGCAGGAGCTGCCAACAGCCAGAGGCCCGGCCAGTGCTCTCCAGTCCCCCACCTCGACTTTCTTAAAAGCCTTTCCTACAGCAGGGGTGATGACCGTGGGCCCTGGAGGGTCCAAATCTAGGGAAAGGATCCCAAACGAGCTCCCCTTGGCTTGATCTTGACCAACATCTATTTCAAAGCCACTGGCCAGACCTGGAGCTAAAACACAATGTGACGAACAAGGGGTGTTGGGGACCCATTACCTTCCTTCAAGTCCCCACCCCACATGCCAAAGGAAGCAGAGGAGGCAGCAGCCCAAGGTGGGAGACCCTTCCCCTAGTCCCACCCAACCCCAGCAGCAGCCTCAGTGCCCGCACCAGTGGCCTCAGGAAGGGACTGGCAGGTGGCCCTCTGCCAGAACCCTCTGTGACACCAGAGAGGGCCACAGCCTCTCTGTGCCCCGTCAGGAGCTACGCAGCAAACCCTCTGGATGCCGGCAGGCCCCGTGCCTCTCTTCCTGCCCCCAGCCCAGAAAGCCCCAAAGAGGAGCCCACCGCCCGAATAGAGGTGGGGATTCATCACTTGGTACGTCCACCAGGTGGGGCTCAGGAGCCCCTTCACCAGCTGACCAGACCTGGGCCAAGAGCATAGATGCAGGGGCCCCAGGCCCCTAACTCCAGGAGGGAGAGACCCTCGGGGCTGAAAGTCGCCACGTTTGGCCAGGACCCCCGGTTCTTCTCAGAGCAGGGCTCCCTGTGTCCTCGGAAGCTGTACTTCCTCCCCAG